ATTTCATGTTACTCTTATTAAGAATTTCACATTTGCACAGAATGACAAACCTCTTATGTATAATTTTATATTCTTGTGAAATTGTCAGAGAACAAAAGAGAGAACGAAATAGTATTTATTTTTTAGTTGTTTTTTAACATTTTCAAGAGGGTTTTATAATTTACAAAGCAGTAAAAAACAATAGATTAAAAATCTAAAAAATGTACAATTAAAATAAAAGTAACATAATGAAATTGTTCTCGTTGAATAAAAATATTGAGTTGTTAATTTTTTAAAAAGAACAAAGTAATATATTATTAATGTGTATATCTTTCACAATTGTAATAATTATAATAATTATTATAAAAATAAACTATTAATTAAAAATCTATGAAGACAAATCTTTATATAAAAATAAAAAATATTGAAGTACTTTGAGAAACATTTGTTTGAATGTATATTGTACATAAAAGTATTAAAAAATGTAGTAAGCAACGAGGAAATAAATATTTGTTAAAGCAGTTTGATTTTCTGATACGGCTCGCAAGTTTTCGTTCGCAATTAAACAGAAATACGCAGTTTATTTTGGTTACTTTATAGCTTCCTAACAGCTTTGACATGTGCGAGCCCAACCTTCGTACGATCCAATCTTCTCTGTAGCATAAACATAGACGTGATGACAAGGTAAAGGCGTGTGTTCTCTTTGCTACTTTACAAAGTATTCTAAACAGAATATATCCGCAATAGCTATGACGCTGATCTAGAATGTAGTTAAAAAAAAAGAGAATCTTTGTCACATCGTCGTATCGTTTTAAAAAGGAAAAGAAGTTGATTGCATTAAATAAAAATTCTTTACAAAACTATATAATCACGTATTATTTTATATTATTAGCAATAACAAAATGCCTGTCACATTCCTGCCATTTGTTTTTCTTAGCTATGCAAATTTATTCGATCGTATGTAAGGAAGGATCATTAATTCTACTTTATTCGTTTACGTCTAGATCTTAGCTTGACAGATGCGACGTCGACGGCTTGATTGTTTGCGCTGTCGACGACTCATTGAACGACGTGTCCCAAATGAATTTGCGTGAGACTGGCGTATTATCGTATCCGTTATTTAAAATAAATAAACTCTCTTGCACAATTTTGCGAAAATTTTGCCACGCGCAAATATCCGCCAAACACATGCAAATGCAAATTGGGTTACACATTAAACATGAGATTTTCGTTTAAAGTGCGAATATGAAAATGATATTATTCGCGCGCGCCGTACAAAAGAGAGAACTTGAATAGCTGATATGTAATTAATTTACCAGCAATATTTTGCGCCGGATGGCGGATCTCATGATTTCTGCATAATATAACAAGACAAATGTAAGTAATTGTAATATAAATTAAATTGTGTGTATAATTGAATATTTTGTTAAATTCTTCAATAGATTTATTCTTAGAAAATGACTTGCGACGCGACTATATTTGAATATTATAGCAAATTATTATAATTATGCATTAATTATACATTAATTAATTAAGGCTAACTAACTATTGTATAACTATACACACATGTCTACTTTTGTTAATGTTTTTCCTTTTTCACGTTGTTTCTTACCTAAAACTAAGTCTCTTCGTTATTCAGCACATATATCTCATATCGTGTAACAGTCTGCGTTTGCAACTAATTACAGCAAGAAAATTTATATTCCACTGAAAGTCAAGTCTATCTTGATTGCTTCAAGAACTGTGTACCTAAGTATCAACAACAAGATATCTTGCGCGTTTGATCGAGTTCTTTTTGGTGTTTTTTTGCTACATTCAAGTAAGGAGATAATTAATTTTTCTCACCGTATATTTTTTTCTTACTCTTTCTTATTACATTGTGATCTTGTCAGCTGACTTATTATTTCTCGCGTTTCTATATTTTTTTGATTCTCGTCCCTTCTCTGATATTTTTTTCTGCGAGAAACGTTTGAAATATGTTTACCAAGCCTAACGACTGAAATCGAGTAAACATTTGTGATGCTTAACTGCGACGCGTTTGTGCGTCGTTAAATCTACTCGACTGCATCTGACTGATATCAATACACCTTATCAAAGATCCCTTTAATTTGACCCCTTGCGATCATCATTCGAATGCAATTTTAATAGGGGTAATGCCAATCGCATTACGCCAAGGTATGAACGTGAAAGACTGGCTAAAAGCAATTTATGTATCCATATATTGTAGCTTTGCTTTCCATATCTCTCTGGGCTGGTAAATAACTAATTAAAAATAGCAGTAAATTGAAAAAAAAATATCAAAATGTCACGCCCGCTAAAGGTGACATAAGCTAATTCGAGTAGGCGGATGATGCGGTTACGTATTATTAAAAGTTTATACATTTGTTTTTTAATCAAAAATAGTAGCTTAAATTCGTAAATATAAACTATTATTATAAAGTATTGTTATAAGAATTTAATTGAACTAAGAAATATATATATATATATATATATATATATATTTATATCTTCAAAAATCTATAAAAATTATTCCACATAGAATATTCTAATAGAATAATAAAATATTATGCATATAAATATACTAAAAATTATTTTCTTTTATAAGAATCACATATATAAAAATGTTTGATTTACACAATCGATGACTCGTCAAAATGGCCAGATAATGTTTGAATATTTGTTTTTAGCTTGAGATATAAAAAAATATATTTAACTAGTATCATTCCATTCTCGATTAGAGATATGCAATTTTTCTACTATAAAAAGAATAGGATAAGAATCTTAATTAAAGAAACTTTAATCGAATTCGAGATTTAAATTAAAAAATTATCCTGCTCGAATTCCATTGTACCAATGTGAGTCAATAAATGAAGTTTCACGAAGAGATCTGCATTCCTTAATAATGCGAGCCGGTCATATATATGCACAAAATATTCATCATTCATATGTTGACTACATGTCTTTCTCTCACTTTGAATTCCTTCTTCGTTGTTGTTCGAAATATAGCTTGTTGATTGATAGAGGAAATTACAAAAGGTCAAATCTCACTGCAATATATTCCAATATCTGGAAAGTAACATGTGTTTCGCATACTCTTTACAAATACGCAAATGACTAGTCCTATTACGTAAAAGTTTGATTCTTCAGTTAAACTACCTTTGCTTGAAAAATATTGTGCGTATTTTTATAAGCGAAAATTTCACGCAAAAAATTTTATCGCATAAATTTTTAAATCTTATCTCTCTTCGATGAAAAATTTAATAATAAATTCTCTCTCTCTCTCTCTCTCTCTCGTTTTTAATCATAACGTAGCAGAAAAAGTATTTTATATTACCAAGCTTTCTACGGAAAAAACCGAAATGTTACTGGAAAAAGAAAAATGAAAATTTTATTATGCGGAAAACGATTCAGCAAAAGCACTTTGCTGATTATATGTATCTTAATGCCAATTAATGGCTCATCGATCGGAACTTATTACGGTGCAAGAGATACAAACGATTCTTTTACAATGCAACGAGTTTTATTGTTGGGATGTCAGCGTAGTCTTTTTCTCGTATTCATATTAACATATTGAAAACGTGGAAGACTTGTCCTCGATACGCAACAAACAAAATATGCAAACGCATTACGTGATTGTATACTATTGTATTTCCGATAGGTATTTTTAGATTGTGATATCGTTACATAAGTAAAATGCGAAAAATAATATACGATTTATTTCATCAAACAACGTACTCGGTGAGTCGATACTGTCGATTTATAGTAACCGATGTCGAAAGTTTTGTCGACTCATAAACGTACCGTATCGTCTTTCGGAGAGTAGTTTAGATTTATGTCCACACCCGAATGAATCGTGCCATGAATTCTTTTGATTGCCATTTCGTGGATAACCAATACTCCACTTTAAAGATAAAATGTTCTATTTACGTGACTTTACAAGCTGTTATACGGTATAGAAAACTTTCATTTTATTTGAGAGTTATTTAAGACAGAAAAAGACGGAGAAAGATAGAAAGCCATTAAGAAGGATTTGAAGTCTTGTGTTCTTTTCCTTAAGTAAATTGACTAGAGTAACTGCCCTAATTTCACATAAAGAACTTTTATTATTGGTTAAACGTTATCATAAAAATAATACCTTAATGAGATATCGGATACAGCTTCACGATAGATTATTGATTTTTTAAGAATGCATTTTGCATATTTTTCATATGACAAACGTTAACATTTTTAATATTAATTTATTATAATTGTATTAATTCTTTTCGTTTGCAGTATAAGTACTTAATTATTAACGTGCAAATGGAAAAGTCGTCATGTTATATAAAGTACCATCGTATTGTTTTACATTTAAATAGCTCTCATTCTCTTCGTCTCTGTGAAGATCCAAGTTTCACTACGCGAAAATCATTTGTCCGGCTTATCAGTCCCGTCCCTTTTACCTGTACAGTGTTACGAGAAGCCTGCGCGGTTTGCCGAAACGTTGCACACCGCCTGCAGCTTTCGAGTTGTAACAAGAGCTTTCAACACGGGTCAACACGGTTCGGCACAAAGGTATTCTCTCGTGTGCTTTCTCTGTCTCTCAAACTGTCGACAAAATTCTCGGAGCTATTGTCAGAATGCACGAGCAACTTCCGCGAGCAAGATTATTTCCCTGGAAACCGGTATCCGGTAAATTATCATGTCGCCGCCAGCATTATTACTATATTGCCCCTACAGTAATTTCATTGCATCGCACGTAGAATAAAATGGTACTCTGAGTACGTCTCTATTCAGTTGTTTCCGACCATTGAAGAGTGGTTCAACCGCGAGAATGTCGAGTATAACGATATATAATAATATCTTTCTTCCATAATTGTAATTTCTAAACAAATGGATGTTTACTTGCGAATATAAAAATATAAAAAAGCAAACGCAATAAAATTTAATTTACTCTTTGTTTTATCGAAATTTATTGCATATTACTGATTCTTATATTTTAATTGTGACGATTTTTATTAATTGTGCTTCTATTTCTGTTTCAGATTCTATTCTCAAAGTCGATGCACAATCTGAAGTAGACAAGAGAAAGTTTGCCTTGAAGCTGATACCCGGCAAACTAACAATCTTGGACCGTGCGCGCGGCAAATGATTGACAGAATGATATCAACGTCACGTACGTTATCCTCGTCAAAACAAACTTTAGTTATGTCGATATCTTCGTCATTGTTTCGCGACAGAATATTAAGAAGATATCTGTAATCTCGTCTAGATAACAAAATTCTGTTTGCGATTAATTGCATTATGTAATAAAGATCGCAAAAATTGTCCGTGAGAAGAAGGTGTGCGCAGTCAAGTGTTCTTTCATTCTTTTTTTTCGCTCTCTTAAAATTCTCATTCACGCTTTGATCCCGAAAACCAATAATGATGATGAACACAACGATTGATATGATGGATTACGTTCAAAATTCAACTCACAACTTAACGCACGATATGGGCCAGAATTGCGAGGCTGAATTGCCAATCATCGCCCTGGTCAACCAAATTCTCTATTCTATCGTCTGCGTTGTCGGACTTCTCGGGAATACGTTGGTCATTTATGTCGTCCTACGCTTCTCGAAGATGCAAACGGTGACGAACATGTACATCGTAAACTTGGCGATCGCGGACGAGTGCTTTCTAATAGGTATACCGTTCTTAGTGACGACGATCAGTTTGCGTAGTTGGATCTTCGGTAAAATTATGTGCAAAGCGTATATGACCACGACAAGCATTAATCAGTTCACCAGCAGCATCTTTCTGTTTATTATGAGCGCCGATCGTTATATTGCTGTATGCCATCCGATATCATCCCCGAAGATGCGCACGCCCTTCATCTCCAGAGTGGTCTCGCTTACCGCCTGGGCCACCAGCGCGCTCTTCATGGTCCCGGTATTTCTTTACGCGAACGCCATGGAATCTCCGGAAGGTGTTATCAGTTGTAACATTTATTGGCCGAACGATCGTGGCGGCCAGACCACTTTCACCCTCTACACCTTCATTCTAGGCTTTGCCGTTCCTCTGGTTCTAATACTGATCTTTTATTTCCTCGTGATCAAGAAGCTGCGTACGGTAGGACCGAAAAACAAATCAAAGGAAAAGAAACGATCGCACCGGAAGGTCACCAAGCTGGTGCTAACAGTTATCACTGTATATGTAATCTGCTGGTTACCCTACTGGGTCACTCAAGTAGCGCTGATATACACCCCCCCGAAGCAATGTCAAACCAGCATCAGCATTACCAGCTTTCTTTTAGCCGGTTTTCTCAGCTACAGCAATAGCGCAATGAATCCGATTCTGTACGCTTTTCTAAGCGACAATTTCAAGAAGAGCTTTCTGAAAGCGTGCACCTGTGCGGCTGGCAAAGATGTGAACGCGGCGCTGCACATCGAGAACAGCGTATTTCCGAGAAGAAACAAGGCCAACGCCGACAGACTTCAATCTAACCGGATGGTCACTTCCGGACAGTCCAGGATAGAACTCGAGGACGAGGAGGCGGAGAGAGGATTGCTCATCAGTAAGACCTCCACTACTACAGTGACCATGACGTCACGATCGAACATCACGGTGAGCAGCGAGCCCAGAGACCTGGCGCAAAGGGATAAAGATCTAATTAAGAACGGTGCACAGTTAACTCTGTTGACGCAGGTTTAAAGCTCTCCCTACCGAAACTACCGCTCTCCATTGTCCATTGGAAATGATAGGCCGGCTTATCCGTTCCCTGGATCCTGATTGTAACGACGATCTTCGTATTTATTGCGCTGTTCACGAAGATCGAGGATCGGGATTAAGTGCAATGGTAAAATTACTAGATGCGTCGGCTTGTCAGTGATCTATGTGACATTGATGAGTGATTTTACAGTGTTAGTATGATCCGAGATTCTTTATAGAATCATATGACCATCATGGAAATGCATTGTGTCGAATGCCAACGTAATCGATATGAATTTTACAAAGAAGCTGTGCTTCGAATGGGTATTAAATTCTTGGTGCTATTTGTTTCGACACGACAATTAACCGAATAATTTGAAAGTCACATTAATGTTGTTATTATATATAGTCTAGAAAAACTTTGTACGAATCGACGCGAGACCGTATTTTGCATTATCGCGAAGATGAAGAAGCTATAGATCTTAAATATTTTTTCGTAAAAATGATTTCTCTAAATGCAACATACAATCGTTGTACCTGACTGTTGTTCGTCATGATATTTATATATTATAATATTACGTAATCCGAATTTTACGGTAATACGAAGATTATCAAAACCCGAAGACACTGCGCTCAATTCTAAATGCAACGATCGCCTAGTCGAGATATTCTTTCGCGATAGATGAGATAAAACTCTCTTCTTCTATCTAACAATATATTATTGGACTGAATATAAAAGCTCATGATCGATGATTTTTTTCATTTCTCATGACAAACATCCAAAAACACAAAAAAAATCGAAGAGTTGTGATTACATCCGCCGCGGATATTGATCTATGAGTTAACTTACGAAAGAAATTTCTGTTAAACTTTGCGATGATTTATTCACATTTCAAAGCGGCAACAAAAATATGCATGTGTAATGTTTCAAATAGCAGTCAAATATAATTGTGTAACTATAATTGTGTAGGTAGCTAAGAATATTTATTAAAGAACAATTCAGCATGTAAACTATTAACGTTTATTTTATAATAATAAACGCAGGTTGTATAAGAAATGACTGATAAAATCTTTGCCAAGATATAAACGAATCAACTATTTTACTAGTGCTCCGTGCCAAAATTAAATATTGATTTGTTACACATAAATAGCAACACCCTACAAGGAAATAACTTTCCTAACAATCGGCAAACATTACAGAACCCAAGACAAAACCACAAGAGAGACTTTCAAAGACGAAAAGCCTTCCCAATTTAGTGTTACGAGGCCTAACAATCTCCCCGAAATGTTTCCCTTTCGAAAGAAAAATGACAGAACTCTCTTGAGATTCGTGTCTCGTCACCTCTCTTTTTATTTTTCCGTTTAATGTACTATTCTATTATTTTCTTTTCACCCAGCAAAAAATCAGTATCACAATGTATCGCCGCAATCACAATACGAGCGATATATTTTATGTAAGCAGTGTTTCTTTTTACATATAGACAGAATAACTTTTCTTGTATTAACTCATCTACGCTCGCGGAACAAAGAATCGAAGATGAAATTCTCGATACGCAGTAATTCACGATGAAAAATCATAATGCGTCGTATTTCGGAAGCATTTTGTCAAAGTTTATATCGAGTATGTGCATGATTTCATCGACCATTCGGATAATATCGGGTAAAAATTGTCGACAATATTTTAAGCGAATCAATAACAAGACGAAAATATGTATTTATTGAGCAAGCGTGCGATCATATTGCTGATTTATCAAATTTAACGTTGCGAACAATTTAATAAATTGTACTATTTATCAAAAAACATCAGTTAAGCACGCGCCGATTTTTTTACAATATTTTGTATTTATTGACAAAATATGACTTTCTTATTTAACTGTAAATATTGAATTAGCTTTATCGTTTATAATTATATTATCATTAACTGTTTATATGTCAATTTTTATACGAAAATTTTTATTATTTTTATAACTTTTTTTAAACTTCTTTATATACCTTCAAACTTATCAATCATTATCAATCTTTATAATGAGATTTTATGATCCTATACCCCTTATATATGTACCTATATAATCAATTAAGAACTGTTACTTTAATTAATTTATCAAAGTATTTGTGTTGCCAGTGAAGAATAAATTAAGAAATTATTATAACGACCCAATTGGCTTCAATGTCCTTTATTAATTAGCAATTCATAAAAATTATAATCAGACTACGTTTCGACCTTTGGTTCAGGTCCTTATCAAGTCTCAAATTCAAACTAAAACTTCCACATATAATAATTCTTTGTATACAAAGAACATTGAAGCCAGTTGGGTCGTTATAATAATTTCTTAATTAATTAATTTAATTAGTAATTATTATTTTAATTAATAATTAAATTAATAATAAAAATTTAAGCCTAAAAATACGATGGCATTTATATTTACAACATATAAATAGAGAGAAAGTTGCATTCACACATGACAATTTTTTTCCTAACGTAAATAATAGAAATTAAGACAAATTAATTTTATTAATTGAGAAAAATTATTTCCAAAAAGCTTTTCACGGTGGTTTATCATATTGCATCATATTTTCCATTATAAGCAATAGAAACTCGTAAACTAGAAGAGATATATGTTGATTGCTGCACGCCTGTGTGCTCACTCTTCAATCACCATATCTTTTGATCAGCCCTTCTCTTCTATTCCATTTCTCTTTTTCTCTGTACATTAAGATTCTATCCAATTCAAGATTACATCTCATTCCATAAACATCACATGTACACAAGAAAAATTTTCAGTGGAATACTGTCTTATTGCGTGTAGAAAATATATATCTTTTTTAATTTAACTATTTAAATTTCTAATTAAACTGCGCTGCATAAGCATTGCATTGCGCTGCACAAGTGCATTTTACAATATCAGCGTTTTAATAAATTTTTTAACCAATAATTATGTATCATCTAATTTTGATGATTTATTTTAAATTGTAATAATTCATAAAAAATCTTAATAAGCGATGAGAAAGAGAGATTACATTTTTTCAAATAATATAACTAACTAACATATATATTTTTTTTCGTAATATATTCCAAGCTTTAACATCAATCATGATTTCGCGAAAATACAAGAAATAAATATCTACCTGATATAATATAATTAAGATAAAATCTTTTGTCAAATCTGTGACTTCTTTATTACTGACAATGATAAATTGAACGTCCGCGTCCTGTTCTATTATTGGAAAAATCGATCAAATAACTTGATAACTAAGAAAATTACACATGTTGTCAGATAATTTCATCCATCTTGATGATTCATCGGCAATCGCTGTTTTTCTCTTATCATCTTACATCTGCTAATATTACTGTTTCTTTATCGAAAGATTTTTATTCGTTGCAGTCCACACATGCATTTATTTTTGTAATAAACTTTTTAATAAATAAAATGACTTTTTATTTTAACAACATTTCAACATGTTAAGAAGAAATGTGAGTTTTTTCATACAATTCTAATTTTTTCATATTAAAAAACTAAGTTTCGCTCGTAATATTCTTTTTGCTCTTTTATATCGCAGTATTTAGTTCTTAAGATACTCGAGGTGCATTATAACACAAGCACTGTAAGAGACACGTCTAGAAATTGCCAAAGAAGCTACCAGGTGTTTGTAATTAAATCAAGATGTACGAACGCAATAGAATATATTAGAAGTTGTTTATTTTCTCTAAACTGAAAGTCAAACTAAGACTAAACTAGCAGCTAAACTAAGCCAACTAGAGACCAAAAAGACAAACTAAACTAAATGGCAGTTACTTGAAAGCCGAAGTGTAAACAGTTTTTGAATTAACTTATATAAGCAAATGAAAATTAATGAGCTTTAATGAATTAAACTTGAGAGGTGCAGAGAGAAAACTTTCTTCATCAGTTATAATCTCAAATGAAATTTGCTTTAATAAATTTAATAACGTGTATATATATATATATATATATATATATATATATATATATATATATATATATTTATATATGACCATCAAGGTATTTAACATTAAATATAAATTATAAACCTGTGAAAAAAACATTATATTCAATTAACTTTTTGTTTGGACACAATTATCTCCAATTTTCATCGATGGACCAATGGCTGAGAGCATAAGCGCGATTATATAAGCGACTTCTGATACATTATGTAAATCGTGATTATAATTTATAATGTATATCAAGTATAATTTTGAATATATATATATATATATATATATATATATATATATATATATATATATATATATATATATATATATAACCACTAAATACCGCGGAAAGCTTAATTAGAAAATCGTAGAACATGTCGATCGATGTGCCCGTAAACTTTCAATGATAGATTAATTGCCGGGCTTTAATATGCGCGTAAGATCATTATAAAGACTATTATAACGTGTATTAAATTTTACCGCACGTAAATTATACACATAAATATGTCTATATGTATGTATGTATATGTGTGTATATATGTGTCCATCTCTCTCTCTCTCTCTCTCTCTCTCTCTCTAATTAAGAATAAATATTATTGAATATATAGCGTAACAGTTAATTAGTGGGAGAGAGCTTAATCGCAGGATGATTAAAATTTATCTCTATACATTGTATATCTCAAAATTGCTTATTACTTTGAATGTTACACGATTATGAATGCACAAATATTTCTTATTATGATAAAACATAATTTTATACGAAACATCATCGATGAAGATAATTGAGATTCAAGCACACTATCTCCAAATGTAACGAAAAATTGAGAGCCACTCTGACCCACTAAATATTTCACACGATCTTTTATTCTTCTCTGCTGAAAAATATATGTAACCTTCATGATCCCTCAGAGAACTATATACAAAATTTTAAATAAGCGCTTGTACATAAAAAACTGTACGTGTATACTTATTTAAAATTTTAATCTACGTATTGAAAGAACAACGCGGACCGTTATTTCTATATATTTTACTTTCAATTTCACATCAGATACAGACAATTGAGCTTGTACGAAGTCAAATGTACAGTGGAAATTAGACCATGAGCTCATGTCTTCGTTGCGATCTTGTAGCACCTGGGTTTCTCAGGGTAGTTCATAATCCGACATCTTGGACAGATTCGCGGAACGCTACGTTAAGTTTCTTAAACTTGCCGGCAGCGAGTCATAAACCTCGTCGCCTTTCACCCAAAGGGACTTCCCCTTATTCTACTTAAAACAACGTAACGAAAATGCGTCTTTACGCCAAAGTCACGGCGTAAAAATAGCAAAGAAAACTCAGAAAGGGACGAAGGGACGGAAAATAGACGGGATGATTAAGGGGAAACGAGGAAGGTTTATTACCTAAAAAACAATTTCCCCCAAGAACAATGATAAAGATTAATGTGCTATAAAGTTACCGCAATACGTGCAACGATGCCTGAATGTATGTGTTTCTGAACGTTATCGTTGACACGGTAGATTGACAAATTGGCTAATTTCGAATACAGGACACACGCGATTGCGTCGTGCAGGTGACGGATTGAACGTAGGCGAACGATATCCGCTTTCTTCGTGACTTTCTTTTACAATAGTCGCATTTTTCTTTTTCTTTTTCTTTTTTCCCCCTTCGTGTATATCTTAACGATCGTATCTTTTTCAAAAATACCGTAATAATTTAAAAATAAAACGCGTCTGTTTGCACGTCGTAATGCGCGTCTTCAAAAATCAAATAAATTTTTCTCAGGAATCGAGGAGTTTTGTGTAAAAATAAATGTTTAAGGTCTCTCAATCGGAACGTTACAAATATATTTTTTATTTTTTTAATGTTTTATCTCAATAACGCTTATAACGTCTATATTTATATACTTAAATATTTTTGATCGAATAACATATTAAAAAAGATTAACTATAGGAATCGATCTATAAAATATGTTTTTATAATTTTATCGATTTAATCTGATATGTTCTTGTATACATAAGTATAGATACATCCGCTATAAAATTTTTATTTAGACTACTATTATTGATCCGATTATGCTCTCAACGTAAATGATCGAATGCATTGAGCATAAAATTAGGACGTAATATTTTTCAAACAACATATAAATCGTTTTTAATACGATCATATTCGCGAATCACCAGAAGTGATTGCTATTGATGTGAAATATAAATTTGATCATCGCGTATAAATTTAATAAAAATAAATATTTCAAATATTGTAGAAATGTCCGGAAATAATTAAAACAAAAAAAAATATTAATAATAATTGCTTGATTATAATATTTCATATAATACTTACGTTAATAAAGGTTTGTTTGTCTTTTTAATAAAGTAAATTTACTAGAATGAATTTATTAAAATTTCTGTTTAAAATAAATAACTCTTTAAAAAAAATGTGCAATTTTATAATATGTTTTCTCTTTGATGCAGCAAAATTTTATATATTTCTCCTTCTTTCTTTCAATTAAATTTTTGCCGGATTTAATCGACATTATCAAAAAGATTCGTTAATTTATTTATATCGATACAATGATGGTGTATTCCAAATTTCCGAACTATATCAACTTCTCACTCTTCTCTCATAAATTTCATTCGATATTCTTTTATAATGTTCTTCCCCGATTTCGAGATTTCTCGTTTAGATTCGCAGTGTATCGAGACTATCGAATATCATCGAAAATGCGTGTCTCGCGATAATAACGTGAAGACAACAGTGAAGTTAGTAGGTCACCCTTTGTATTCCCTTCAGCTTTTCTTGTCAGCCGCTGAAGCGGAACAAAACTCCCATTACTTATAATCGAGTCATAAAAAATAATCTCGAGAATATGGTTCATTATATCACATCTCATTGTGAACGGGAAGAAGATGTAGTACGCACGAAAGTATTATTCGCGGCCTTAACATTAATTACCGCGTAACAATGGAGCTAATTAACTCGT